TATGAAGTCAGAATAAGTTAATTTGTTTTCATTTGGGGGATAGCAAGATTCAGTTTTATCAAGGCTGCTCTGAAGTTTGAGTTGGCTCCAAATGCTGTCCTTGTCTCCGCCTCTGCTGTGGAGGGCAGAAGTATGGGGTATTGCCATGAGGCACTTAAACCCCTGATATACTGAATTGCTGCTATAGCTACATGCAGCTCTGGTTACCACCACCCCCCAAGTGCTCTTGCTGATTCTGTAGAATATTATTTTCCCCTGGATCAGTTGGGTGGGAATAGGTTTAAAATCATCTTTTGATCTCTACTATATGCCATAGTCTTGTTCCAGTTATATAACAACTGAGACAGAAAATGTGCCATTGTCTGTACGATAATGAAACACTGAACACATGGAAATCTGATTAGTGTTTCATGGACCATAGCTGTCATTTCATTTGCTCTGGAATTCCTTTCATACAGCCATGACAAAGGTTTAAGGGTGAGTTTCTTGACACTTTGAATGCATTAGCTGTTCCTCAGACAAAAGCCTGTCAAACATACTGAAGCATCTAAAAGGATGTATTTATTTCTGAGATAATATTTTAAATAAAATTAGTGTTATTAAGCTTGGTCTTGAGAGAGAAAAGCACCGTACTAGAATTTTGTGGAGTTTTATTTCCTGATGAATGTTAGGCAAGTGTATCTGTTTTTTGTAAGTTTCTCTTTTTCTGCTTCTGGTTTTTGTTTCTCCCCATTCTAAACAAGGCTGCCCATTTCTCAACTGTGGTTTTTCAGAAATTGATATATTTTGGAATTAATTTTTCCATGTATAAATATACACGATATATTAATTTACCATAATTGCAAACTGTGTAGTTAATGTATTTTCCGTGAGTGAATATAAAGGTGCGGTCCATGTATTTCTTATATAATAGAAAACCAAACTGAGAAGTTATTGTTCTTGTTTCCTCCCTACTCCTGGACATGTTTGTTGTTCTTGTATGGTTTTTGTTGAACCAGTCATTCTGGAGTTTTTGAGACAAAGTTACTGAAGCTGCCTGTTTTCACATCAAATTAGCAGTTAAGAGATGTCCTTTTGTATCTAGTGTAAGCATTTGACATAGGTAAGAGCTGAAGGAGGGCAGTATCAGAGTTATTTAAAGAACTGAAGGAGGGCAGTATCAGTGTTATTTACCACAAAGTTCTTGAACTACACTTAAGACATTGGTGGGCTTACAGGAAAGCATGGGTAGTTTTTAAATGTGAAATCATATAAATATGTCATACTGGTTCCTGTTTTGTTCCATTTGTGCTCTTTGTCTTGGAAATTCAAAATGATAGCGTACCAATTGTTTGTTTGCCCACACATAATCCAGAGCAGTTACTACATTGTACTGTCCAGTTTCTGCAGTGAGAAACATAAGTATTCTTGTAAATAATGAAAAAGGATCAGTAAGCATCTGTGGATGCTTCATCCCTGGCAGTGTTCAAGGCTAGGTTGGACGAGGCTTTGGGTAATATGGTTTAGGGCGAGGTGTCCCTGCCTATGGCAGGGGGGTTGGAACTTGATGATCTTAAGGTCCTTTCCAACCCTAACTATTCTATGATTCTATGATTCTATGTTAAGAGGTTTACTAATGATCAAAAGCCAATAAATTTGAGAAAATGGTAGAATTAGGCATACTTTCTAACGACAACAAATGAAGAAAATAGTTTCAAAGATTTGAACAGAATCTGTATCATTGGAACAAAGTGGAAGCAAAGAAGTAAGACAAAAAAATTTGGGGTTTCTTACTGAACTTTTTAAAAATCATATGTAAATCTGTTTTCTAGTTGGACCTGAAAGTTTTTACCATAGGAATTCTTCTTGAAGAGTTTCCTTCACAGGTTTGATGGTTATGAATTACAGTGGCAGATCTGCAATTCCACTAGGCAAAATGTCAACATTATTCATATTGATATCCAAAGGTGTTTGTCCCATACTTCATTTATGTGGGTTAAACTCTGTTGGAAGAATGCTTTTAATGGATAATGACCTTCTGGCATTGTGCAGATATCTTCAGTAACTGTTCTGGCAGCAACCAAGAAGGGTGAGACATTTCTACTTTAAGAGTACTCTTCATATCTTAAGAGTGTCTTTGTATCTATGGGCCCTTGTATCCAAGTCAGGATGAACTTCAAATTTTTCAATGTAGTGTAATTTCTGGTATTTCAGTGACTATTGGAAAAGCATTATACTTGTCTTATTCGGTGATTAATTGTTGCATTTTTCATTTAACTAACTGTCACTCGTAAAAAGTCATATGCCTTTTCAGAGTTACGTGTTCGTAGAACATGAACATTTTTAAAAGAAAAGTAATTTCCTTGCAGTGTTGCAATTTTTTTTGCCATAGTTCTTCCGTCTTTATTTTGGCACTTTCTTCTGTGTTCACCAGTTTCCTTACATTGTTTTTCTATCAAGGCCTGCAATTGCTCAGTTAAATTTGTGTGAGATTTGTCTATAGCTAATCTCTATGAAGAGATCCTATCTCTCAAACTAATGTATCTTTCTGTCTTTCACACAAAGCCATGTTATTATATAAAATAGTGACGCAGAAACTCACTTCTGTGCTTTTAGTTTGCTCTTGTGAATTGTGATCTGGTAAACAGGAGGAAAACCTAGAATTTAGGCTGTCTGAATAAAATCATTTAATAATATTAAGTTCATAAACACAGTATGTGTTATCTCACTTACTTGCATTTTGGGGTTTTAAGATGCTTTATAAATCAATTCAATGTTTAGATTTGCATTAAATGAAAATATTTACAGAATATCCACTTATATTTCTGGAACATAGGTGCCACAGTAAGTAGATTAGAAGTGCCATCTGCAGGGTTTTGTTCTCAGACAGTAATTTTCAACTTCATGCATAGCAGATCTGTTGTCTAGCTTTGTAAATTTTAGATGGCTGCTAAAGCTGCATCCAAGAGCTTTGGATGGTAGGAGGCAAACTTAAAGCTTCTCTATTGTCACAGGCATTTGGGGGTGTAAAGATAGCAGATTTGTGGGTTTGGAAATAATGCCACTGTGATGCATGGGAAACTGTGGTTCTCCTTTCTTGTGTCTTCCGTGAAAAGTGACTGCCAAATATATTCTTTAGTGTCATGTTGTTAACAAAAAATATAAAACACTAATTAAAACTTTTCTAAGATGAAAAAGGAGAATGAATAAATGCTGCATATTTTTTCAGTGTTCTGTAGCCAATTCTGTAAGTCCTCAATCAGTGATGAAACACAGAACAGAACAGATATGTGCTTTGAAAAGAAGGTCCACAGAGAGATTTATATTTAATTTCTTCCCCATATCCAACTATTCTTCAAAAAAATGTCAGGTTTATAGTGTTCAGAGAGAGAGACATTTCTCTGAAGTTGCACATATATGACTAAAATCAAAATGGGACTGTGCAAGCCAAGCCATGATTCACAAGAAAGTTACCTGTCAAGGGAGTGCTTATAGCTGAGGCAGGAGGCCCTTGCGCTTCCCCAGATTGCTTGGCAAGCCCCGTAGCCAACAGAAGTGCTAAACCGACAGTGGTGTAGTGGCTTTTAGCTGACCTAGTTGTAAGTAAGAATTACGAGTTGCTCGTAATTCCTGGAGATTTAATATCAAGTTAATTCAGAGTTGTTGTAACACCTTAACTAGTGACTCATCGTCACTTCTAATGTAACTAGTTTTATATTCTGTTATCCATTCTTCCCACCAAGATAACTTGAAAGTCCCTCAATGCAGTAGCTTTCATGTGCAATCCAAAGCATTTTGTTCCTTGCAGAGCTATTTTTTTTTATATACAGTGTGTAAAATATAAGATGTAAATCATGTTTTCCTCTCATATAATTAGGATTAAGTCTCAACTGAAGAAAAAAGTCTACATTGATTTTTCTTTGCATGTGATTCTCTTTACAACTCAGAACTTACAACATATTCCTTAGGGTCCCTTGGAGTTTATTCATGTGTAGAGGAAAACTGTTTAATAGCCAATAGCTGTTCTCCCAAAATAGGCTAAATAGATTAACAGGAAGGCCGGGGAAACAGTGCCCCCAAATAAGGTCATCTGTCACAGTGATTAGGACACAGAAGTAATCCTTTTCAAAGAGGTAGAATGTAGCACAAATTATTACAAGCATCTGAACTAATTTTGGTAATGTAAACATTGGTGTGAAATCAGTCCCATCCTTACTGCATTCAAACAAAAGTAGATGCATTTCAGACCGCATTTAATAAAATGTGGTCTGTTTCTAATGTGGTTTGGCTAGCCAGTGAAAACCATAGGATTTTGACCTGTTTGAAAGGTTCTAGTGGACAATACAAAGTGTTTATCCAGCTGGGCATGTTGTGACAGGGACAGGGATAAACACTGTTTGCAAATTTATTTCAAACAACTTTTTATTTAGCCAAAGTTTTGAGTCTTGATGTAATCATGTGTCCTGAACATTGTCTCTAATTGGCCTGTAAATAATTATTTCCAGCGTTTTCTGAGCAAAACAGGAAACAAAGAAGTCCTAGATAGACCAGGCACCTTTTCTGTATTGCTTTTCTGCTGATTTTGCCTTTATTTAATAGACCGTGTTTTCTTGAGCACTTCAAAATATTTCGCATCACTTGCCCTCAGAACTGACACAGTGACCTGAGAATCAAGGAAATGTCATGTTAGTGACTACTAATTAGTGGACCCAGAGAGGATCTTCTCCTGGCCTTTCAACCTTCCAGTGGCAGCAACAAAAGCTGTCACATGTATCATACAAAGAAAACAAGCATTTGCCATGTTTGGGAGTTTGTTCTGTTTTTTTTTTTCCTAGGGTGTAGATGCTAGCACAAGCTCTGTTGAGGCTGTAGATGAATATGTTAGGAGGAAATAAACCAACAGTAGAGCATTTGCATTTATTTCTCCTTTTCCATGCTTAACCTACTTCTGTTACCCAGTTCTTACTGAACATGTCTGTGCAAATAACATTAATCTCTGTTTTATTATTTATAATTTTCAGGTCTTTAAAATAGAGGTGCTTATGAGTGGAAGGAAACATTTTGTGGAGAAGAGGTATAGTGAATTCCATGCACTTCATAAAAAGGTAGTAATTTTCTTTTTAAGTTGTAACTTTGTTTTGCCTTAGTTGTGATGTTTTCCTTTCTCAAAATTGTTGCTATATATGGTTTATCTTAAATACGTCTTGTGATTCATGTATCTGGAAATGAGTTCCCAACTAACTCGGATTCTTCCTTTTTTATGGAGGGGAGTGATGTCTTCTCACATGTTACTAGCTCCCCTTTTTTTATTACATGTTGTATTGCTAAAATGCTGTCTGTTGTATGTTTTTTTTCCTCTTGTAAAGTCACAAAATAAGACACATTCCTATATCAAATAAATATGTTACTTGGTTTGATTCATTTAGGCAAATAACTTGTTAGTTCTTTATGTTGCTAACCTGCTATATATAAAGCTGAGAAAACAACTCGTATACACCAGAAACTAGGCATGAAAAAGACTGAGTAGAGCATCTCACTCTGCTGTTCTTCATATAATGAATGTGTTATAAGATACAAGATATCTGATAACCTTGTCTCCTGAATCATTGTAATAATGTGTAATGAGGAACTCAGTACTTTCAAGTCTGGTTATCCACTAGTTGTTCAGCTGAAAGGTTCATGGAGGCCAAGGGTTGTGAAGGAAAATTATGGAAAAGAATTGCAGCCTATTGCCAGAGGTGACTACAATGAAGAGCTTTAGTCCTTCATTCCTAGGACCTGGGTCAGCCGGACATCTGTTGGTTTGTAGCTCTCAGTAGCAGTGGGGTTGTGCGCACTCAACTGCTTTGGCTGGTACTGCTTGCCTTAAGTATGGAAAAGCTTCTCTGCAAGCGACAGAGAAGAGCACAGGAGTTTACAGCTCCTGCCACTGTGGTGTCAGAGGAGCTCACACACCAGCATGTATGCTGGTGGTCCTGAATCAGCTCAGGAATGATCTCATTCAGGGAAGAAACACTATACTGGTGGAAGACAGGATGGGCTTACCATCCATATATGGGTTATGGATATAAGCAAGCTCATGTCAACAAAAGGCAACTATTAAACCATCAGTTTGTTGTCTCTCGAAAGTTCAAAGGTATATTTTGCTTATCTGAACTGTAATTAAGATGTGCAAGTATTTCTTGCATTTTTGCTTCTTGGCCCGGTTAATGTATCAGCTGCCACTTTTTAATATTTCCTTGTTTATTGTTTTAATTCAGATGTGTCTCAGATGTTTTCGCCCTTGTATTTACATTGAATATGATACCTCATGAGCAACAGTGTCAGAATCAGTGGTACAAATTGCCCACCAGCAAGCCTTGCAATACATGTGTGCTTTATTTTACATTTGAGATTGATGCTGCAATTAAAAGCGAAGCAGATGAACAGAGATTATACAACTAAGTTAGAAAGCATTTTGAGAGGAAAATCAGGATTTATATGCTTAAAATGCACCCTGCCCATGAGTGGAATAGAATATTTTCAGTTGCTAGGGACCTGCAAGGATCATATAGTCCAACTGCCTGACCCTTTCAGGGCTGACCAAAAGTTAACACGTTATAAAGAGTGTATGAGTCCAAATCAGTCTAAAACACTGATACACTGATATATCAACCACCTTTCCAGGAAGCCTCTTCCTCTGTTTCACCACCCTCTCATTAAAGAAGTGCTGCCTAATGTCCAGTCTGAACCTTCCCTAATGCAGCTTTGAGCCATTCCCACATGTCCTGTCACTGGGTACTAGGAGTCTGAGCTCAGCACCTCCCTCTCCACTTCCCCTTCTCAGGAAGCTGTGGAGAGCAGTGAGGTTGCCTCTTAACCTCCTTGTCTCCAAACTAGACAAGCCCAGAGCCCCCAGCTGCTCTTCACAGGACATGCCTTCCATCCCTTTCACCAGCTTTGTTGCCTTTCTCTGAACACATTCAAGGACCACATCCTTCAGCTGTGGGGCCACAGCTGCACACATTACTCAGGGTGAGGCTGCACCATTACTGAATCAGAACTTGGCTATTGGATTAAAAAGTCCTTGAAGGATGAACAAGGAGACTGGATATGTTGTGTGGCTCTGTAAGTTATCCTTCTCAATGAAAATTTCTAAAAATAAAACTTCATATGTTTTTTTTTTACATATTTTTATGTAAAAAATAGAATTGGGGAATTAAAATTTCAGGAGCAATTGGAACTGGAATGAAGTATTTCTCCCCCTGTCACATTTATTATGGCAGGCAGTGTAAATTATAAACGATGAGCTATAACGCACAAGCTGAGACACAAGGAGTGTGTGTGTTTGTACAGCACCTTTAACATTTAAAGAGTCTTAAATAAGTTTTAAACTCTTTTTTAGAGTGTTAAATAAGTTTGTCAATCTCCCCACATGGAAAAAGCATTTCTTTCTTGTATCACTGTGAGTGATAAGACATGATCTAGTTTTTCAAGGCCAGGTTGGACAGGGCTTTGAGCAACCTGGTGTAGTGGAAGGTGTCTCTCCCCATGTCAGGGGATTGGAACTGGATGAGCCTTAAAATCTCTTCCAACCCAAACATTCTGTGATTCTGTGAATACAGCAGGATAATCACCTATTTTGATGAGTTGGCCATGGAGTTGGCCATGCTATGTGTGATGCGCTCCAGAATGGGGTTTGCCCTCTTGGCTGTCAGGGCACACTGCTGACTGCCACTGAACTGCTGTCAACCAGCTCCCCAGATCCCTTCCTGCAGGGCTGCTCCACAGCCGCTCCTCTCCCAGTTTATACTTGTACCAGTTATTACTCCAGGTGCAGATTCTGACATTTAGACTTGTTAAATTTCATCCCATGAATCATTGCCCAGGACTCAAATCTGACTAGATCCCTCTGTAAGACCTGTTGTCCCTCAAGAGTCAACAGAACCTCCCAGTTTGCCATCATCAGCAAACTTGCTAATGGTGCATTCCAATCCTGCATCCAGATCATTGATAAAATATTGAACAGAACTGTTCCTAGAATTGGGCCCTGGGGACCACTGCTGGTGATCAGCTGTCAGCCAGATGTAGCCCCATTTGCTACAAATCTTTGAGCTCTTAACTTCATCTGGTTCTTCACCCAGTATATTGTAAACTTGCTCATTTCACAGCTAGGCAACTTGTCCAGAAGGATGCTGTGAGGGGACAGTATCAAAAACCTAACTAATATCCAGAAAAGCTACATACACTGCCTTCCTTTCATCTGCTAGGTCGATGACCTTATCAGAGTTGGGCTTGTTCAGCCTGAAGAAGAGAAGACTCTGGGGAGACGCTGTAGGAACCTTCCAATACCTTAAGGGGGCCTGCAAGAAGAAGGACTTTTTACAAGGGCATGTAGTGACAGGAAAAGAGGGAATGGCTTTAAGCTGACAGAGGGGAAAGTTAAATTAGACATTAGGAAGAAATTCTTCACTGTGAGGGTGCTGAGACACTGGCACAGGTTGCCCAGGGAAGCTGTGGCTGCCCCATCCCTGGCAGTATTCGAGGCCAGGTTGGTTGGGGCTTGGAGCAGCCTGGTTGATCAGGCCCCAGGGACTTGTGAGCATTCAGCTGATACATAATTTCAGCACTCACAAATGGAAAGTCACTCTTCCCACACTTGTGTCTTCCAACTCCAGGGACTGGGCAGCCCAAGGTCTGTCAGTATTCTTAAAGACTGAGGCAAAAAGAAAAAAAAAGGGGGGGGACACTGAATGCTTCTGCTTTTTCTTTTCCTTTTTCTTTTTCCCTTTGAAGTCTAATTTCACTGTAATTTCTGGAGTTGCACAGTTACTCCACATGGATGTCACAAATGATTGCAAGGGATTTGTCTCCTTCTACCCCAATTCCTTTGCAATAAATTCCTTTGCAGAGATTTCTCCTTAAAACACTAGAAAAACATAAATGATGTTCACTTTCTTTATCTCCAGAAACAGCAGCAAAATAAACAGCAAAATAAACAAACCTGAAAAACAGTTATTCTAACTAGACACTTTGCACTGCTCTTCAATTTGTTCCATCTTACTCTTCATCTGTTTGTTGTCTGTTTATATTACTCTGCAAACTTGATAGTGACTTTTCTTTATTTGTTCCTTGTCCCTGGCAAAACACCCAGCGTATTTTGCAACAATATACCTCTTTTCTTAAGCCTTACTTTTTGAAGCTGTAGTAAAATTTCAGTAAACATGTTTGAACAGTTCATGTTCTGAACCTCTCTTAGTGCTTTCAGTGTTACAGAAATCCTGGAAAAAGGATTCTCTGGTAATGCAGTATGTGATTTCACCCTTCTCTGTTTTGTGTTAGAGCAGAAAATCTCAATGCTCCTAAAAAAGTAAGATGCGTATTTGAACAGTTTTTATTGGAGAAGAATATTTGGTGCTTGTATCTTGATTGTTCTTTGTGAACAGTTTGTTCACATCTCATGACACTATGTTTTCAGCATGCTAATAAGGTATTTATTTTTTGTTCCTGTCTTACTCATTAATTTAAAATGTAAGTTTCACTCCAAACTGCTGTGAGTACATGGTAGTTGGAAAGGTATCTTTGGACTTGCTGAATGTTCAAGATGTCCTTAGTGCTGGAGATACCTGTAGTGAGCTGGAGAAACAAAGCTTCTGTAAAGAGCAGCCATGATAGCAAATGGAAATAAAGGCTGAAGGGGTGATTTTACCTTTTGCCAGGGAAGGACATGCTCATCTGGCCTTGTTTTAAGGAAGGAGGACTCCAATGCTCATTTAAGAGACTACTTATTCATCAGAATGCCAATTAATGTTTTGATATCTATAATTATATATTTTTATTTTTTTTTTTTTTTTTAAAGCAAAGCCATTTCCAAGAACACAGGGGAATATTCTCGTTCCTGGGTTCAACATTTTTTACATTCCAGTTGTGTAAAAAAGATAAAGCTCCACTTCCTCTGCCATCTGGCTATAGGGGAAAAGGTTTAAAATCTTCCCAAGACTACACCAGGAGTACAGGTTATTTCCGACAGAAACTATCCACTGCTGTTGGTTTTTCTGAAATAGTTTTGCATAGACTCTTACTCTTTGCGCTGGTTCTGAAAGGCAAACTGGGCCTTTCAAGCTGTGCACCATTCACATTACAATATTATATTCAAGTCTGATTAAAAGCTTTATTATTCTCTTATGGAGAGCTTTTTAGAAAGAATTTAATTCTTTCTATATGTATAAAATAGTTAAAAATACAACCATTTATTGCCTAATTATTTTTTATACTCTTCTTCCTTTACATTTTTAAATATTGGTAGTTCTTTTTAAGCACCAGAATGCTAGAAGGTGACAGCATTACAGCTGCAGATTTCACTGCAGTGAAATCTCTGAAAATCTTACGCTCCTTGTATCTTGTCTTGCAAGTTACTTATAATTTTAGAACAACTAGTGTACATTGTAAATCATACTGACTTTACAGCTCTACAGATAATTCTTTACTTGGTAATTTGTGCCATCTTTTAGTCTTGCAGGAAATAGAGACTACAGTATGTCAAACAGGCATTAGGTCAGTGTTACGGACCTAATGTATAACACAGTAGGAAGGTTTCATAGAATCATAGAATAGTTAGGGTTGGAAAGGACCGTAAGATCATCAAGTTCCAACCCACCTGCCATGGCCAGGGAGACTTCCCACTGAGCCATGTCACCCAAGGCTCTGTCCAGCCTGGCCTTGAACACTGCCAGGGATGGAGCATTCACAACTTCCCTCGGCAACCCATTCCAGTGCCTCACCACCCCTACAGTAAAGAACTTCTTCCTTATATACAATCTAAACTTCCCCTGTTTAAGTTTTAACACATTACCCCTTGTGCTATCACTACAGTCCCTAGTGAAGTGTCCCTCTCCAGCATCATTGTAGCCCCCTTCAGAAACTGGAAGGCTGCTATGAGGTTTCCACACAGCCTTCCTCTTCTCCAGGCTGAACAGCCCCAACTTTCTCAGCCTGTCTTCATAGACTGGAGGTGCTCCAGTCCCCTGATCATCCTCATGTTTTTTTTTTGTAGGCACAGGTCTAAAGAAATACAGCTAATGCATACAGTTGCTTAATATTCTTTGATATTATAGTAATTATTTGTTGCAATATATTATTTCAAGCATAAGAAAGTGGGCTTATTTACTTTTACATCTGTAGAGCACATGCTTTATACCTATACATAGTACCTGTACTTGCGTATTTATGCAAATGTATTTTGGATGCTTTATGTGAGAGGGCTACAGAGCACAGAAGGATTGTTAATCATCAGCTGGTGGCACCAGCCACAGAGCATTTACCCTGCAAGCAGATAGGCTTTGGTGGACACTTGTTTTGTTTCAGATTTGTCTCCTCTTATCTGGAGCATTCTGCTTATTTGTTACTCCCATACAGGTGCTGTCATAGTTCGCAACAGCTGTGACCATAGTTTCTTCAACATTCTCAACCAATTTAGATGAAAAAATGGGGGTTCATATTCTGGCTTTAAGATCAGTCAGTAAAAGTACATGGATTTGGGGTTTTGCTTTGGTGGGTTGCTTTCTCACTTCATGTTTAATTGTAATTTAGCACAGTTAAGAAATAAGCAAGTGGCAAAATGTTTCCAGAGCAATTGAGGTTTCCTTGCAGTAGCTTCGTTACTTATGACTGTAGAGACATTGATATGTTGGCACTGCTTTTTCCTATAGTGACATCTCAGCAAGCTCAAAAATGAAATGTAAATTCTCAGTCTCCCATGGGCATGCATGTCAAAGTCAATTTTTAGTTTCTTTCCATGCATTCTTTGCCTCAGATTTACTCAGGCAATATCCAACAGAAAGAATGTCTAATGTCACCTTCTATTAAAATGCAATGAAGTCTATTTCAGTTATCATTTTTGTGCTGTAGTTCTGAGGAAAACGTTAATATTTCTGGGTTTTGAAAAAATATATTGCTCTAACAAGCGGATTCTCAGTGTTCTCAGAATGCATGTTTGTGTCCATCTGTATGCAGTCAGGTATTCATAGACACGTTTCTGTATGTATCTATAAATCTTTCCTATGCAAATCTTTAGAGGAATAATTATGGAGAATTACTGGAAATACATTCAGTGGCGATCTTTCTATTTCTCAGTGTAAGATATTAAACACAACTGATGATCTGTTGGTGCAATTTGAGAACAAGGATATTTTTCTCTCTTGATTGCCAGCTCTCCAGAGAAATGGTTAGCTCTCCTGTCTGTACTTCCACCTGTTCATCGTTGCCTAATTCCAGAGTTCAAAATTGTCACCATTTTTTGTCAGTGCACTTAGCAAAGTAATACCTAGGTATGCTGCAGTGACATTGTGAGGTATCATCCCAGGTTGACTAATGGGGAGTTCATTTCAATTATTCTCATGTAGCTGTTGTCATTCTGTTTTAATGCAGTTAGTCACACCAAATTGTTGGTAGGGTTCCTCTTCACTGTCCAGGGCAGCTAGACCTGGAGATTTGTCATGGCAACATGTAGGTATGAAGTCTTCTGTTACTTCAGTGAGCTGATGGTGAGTACTTTCGTTGCTGTGCTGTTGTACTTTATGTATTATTATTTTACCTGTACTGCTTCATCTCTAACAGAAATCTTTTGTTTACTCTTATACTTTCTTCCTAGTCTGCATTTCTTTTCATTTGCAGCTCAAGAAATTCATAAGAACTCCAGAGATGCCTTCAAAGCACGTCAGAAACTGGGTCCCCAAAGTCCTGGAGCAGCGACGGCAAGGCTTGGAGTTGTACTTGCAGGTGAGTCTCCTCTCAGCACTGTGAAAGTAAAGTCAACATCCATTTTCAAAGTGGTGGTGTCCAAAACATTTGAAGGTATGAAGTGGGATGTTTCTCTGACAGGAAATTTTAGAGGTGGGAAATGGATACAGCAATGATGATTAGCAAGCCTAGCAGCTAGAAATCCAGACTGTTTTGACATTTTTTGTCTCAAATTCATGCAAAAGCTGCTGACTGACTTTAGTGTACTTACTAGTACCTTGTTTTCCTGTGCCTAAAATGGGGAAAATAATGTTATTGTTCTGCCTGTACCAGTCAAAATTGTTGCAGAAGAGATACGAGGAGGCTTTATTTAACTTAGCTCTATTTAGACAGAGTAGGGAAGAATCAGCTCATCAAATTGATATCTCTCTATTGTCATACCTGTATCTGAATTGTTCATCTAGTTGACATAGGCACCTGTCATCCTGTATTCATCTCTGTTTGTTTGGAAACTTGCAGTTAAAGTCCCAGATTCTACCTATTTGGGTTCTGATTTTCCTAGAGACTGTAAAAGGATTCTTCAGGAATGACTTGGACATACAGACATCTAAATATACCAGTGATAAGTAACAGCCTTCTTTAATAAATGGAATTTCTACTCTTACCATGGTTGCTTTAAAAATCTCCTATGGTGTAGTTTCACAGCTATTTCTCTGATGACAAAGTCAGATTAAGGTGGTCCCCTAGACATGTTCCCAGTTTACTGGACATTCAGCTGTACTGATGCAAGTGCTGTTTTATTGAGAGGGATCATAGAGATTACCTTAGTCAAAAAATAATTTTTGGAGGGAGGCAAGACTGAGAATGTTCTATTTTTACTCATATCAGAGTAGTAAAAATAGTAAAAATTTCATAGATCTGATTTATGACATCATCTACAATTGCAGTGGCACATCTGGAAGAATCGTGAAATGAAACACAATGAAAAGTGAGTTGCATTCATAGAAAATAGATGGTAGCCTGCACTGCTCAGGAACGCCCGTGATTCTCAAATAATATTTGTGAAAGAAAACCGTTTAAGGAGGAGAATACTGGGACAGAATTACTTTTGGCATTAAAGTTTTAAAAGTAATTTGGAAATAAGGAGGAAAACACAGCTCAGATTTTGTTCTGAGACACAGGGAGCAGTTCATGCAACATAGTTTATTTTGCATTTTTAAATATTTAATTAGTATTGTTAAATGCAAAAATTCAATCATTTTTTCCTTCTTCCTCTGTGGTATTTATAGCATCTTTGACATCTAAAAGTTACATTTATTGTGTGGGTGAAAAAACATTGCTGCTGGAGAGACTGGTTTTGCAAAGGAATAGGGCCTTTTTGGTTTTGATGGCTGTCAGCGCAGCTTTCTCCATCATCAGTATGTTTTTCTGTTACAGCCGTTTTCTGTGATTTTTCTTTTTTTTTTTCTGATTTTCATAACACTCTTTTGGAGCATATTGCTACTAAGGCACGGATTTCTGTTATGAGATTGATTTTCTTAAAAAGATACAGGGGTAATTCAGTTAGCACTTTATAATTGCTGATAAACTTTAAAAGAACATCTCCCCCTACTGGAAGAGTCAATCAACTCTTGGTCTTGTACAGTCTGGTACATTCAGTTAACTTTTTCCCTCTTCTGTCACCATTGGCTATGATAGGAACATGCAATGGTTTTTGTTGGAAGGGATTGATGGACATCATTTGATTAAAACATGACAAGCCTCTAAGTTATATCCATACTCATGTGCATGCTAAATTAAAAGAACAAAAGTCATTGAATTCTTGTCAAAGTCACTAATTTCTGATTCTGCTAACAGAAAGCAGAACTAATCATCAGTGAAATTTTAACTTGTAAGATAATGAAGAAACTGATTTTAGAGAGCTAGAAGTTCACACTTAATAGTGCCAAGCATTTTCTAAGACACAATGTAGAAACATGGTACAATTTCACAAGACATGATCAGTTTTTAACAATATGTATATAAAATATTGCAAATACATTTTCAGGTGATACTAATGAGAGTTAATCCATAAGAGCAGTTTGCCTACTACCATCACTAGTCAGTTGTGATATTAAAGGCCAGCCATTTGTGCTATCTGTAAACTATTTATAGAGTCAGGGTAGTCACTTTTTCAAAAACACAGTCAAAATTTCATGCAGAGATTAAGCATTTACATGGATGTTACACTCAGATATTTTTTTCTTATGCAATATGTATTAATTTCTCATAATTGCACTTTGGACCTTGAAAATCTGTACAGGCAAGAAGTGGCATGCCACAAAGATTGTAGTCAAATACAGAGCTGTATCTGACATGGTCTAACCATACTGGGTTCTTAATTTACTTTTTATAAAGTAGTCTTCTATAGTTAAATGTAGATAAAAAATAATATGAAATTAGAATAGTAAAATCAGTCTGTATCAAGTAATAAAGAGAGCAGAAACTCCCCTGTTTGAGCTGCAGGGTGCTGCAGTTGCAACTACCTTGTTAGCTCTTTGTGACTTTTTCATTATGAAATCTCCCTCTTAAATCCTTTTAGCACAGGTGGTTTGTTTCTTGGACTGGAAAGACAGGAGCTCAGAAACATTTAATTATGTCTTTCTTGGGAATACCAAAATTGTGAATAAGTAAAATATTAAATTACAAGATAAAAATAGTCATTTGCTTGAATTTATCAGTATACATTGTCGGCTGATATTCATCATAGAATCATAGAATAGTTAGGGTTGGAAAGGACCTTAAGATCATCTAGTTCCAACCCACCTGCCATGGGCAGGGACACCTCGCTCTAAACCATATCACCCAAGGCCTTGTCCAACCTGGCCTTGAACACTGCCAGGGATGGAGCATTCACAGCCCCCCTGGGCAACCTATTCCAGTGCCTCACCACACCAACAGGAAAGAATTTCCTCCTTATATCCAATCTAAACTTCCCCTGTTTAAGTTTTAACCCATTACCCCTTGGCCTGTCACTACAGTCCCTAATGAAGAGTCCCTCCTCAGCATCCCTATAGGCCCCCTTCAGATACTGGAAGGCTGCTATGAGGTCTTACTTCTGTTCTTGAAAAGCTGAGTGGGAATTTTTTTTGTCGTAATAGACCAGTTTTCATTGAATTGTGAAAGAATGATTTAGCTATATTATTTTTAAGTTACTTTCACAAGTTTGACCATAATTTACAACTTTTGGTTTTAATACTGTGAAACAGTTGACTAGTAAACACTAATATGCGTAGTAATTCAACTTTACATATAATAATAATACAGAGCCCTTATGCATACTGAGAACAATCAACTGATTGACAAGAAGAAAGGTGATTATGTTTAATTTATTAATGAGGAAATAGATGCAAAGGTAAGTGTGGCCCCAAATACTCAAGCAGATTACTATGAAGCAATAAACTACTGCTTCTCTGCTGATCCGTGGTAGCTGTCTCTGTCCATGATCTTAACCGACAGCGTAGAGGGCTTGAGCTGGTTTAGTCTTTGCTGAGTAAAGAATGCCTGTTACTGACAGTGGAAGCGAACTAAGCCAGTTCTCATTACCTTGTGGTGGCTATCAACTAAGAGTTAATAAATCAACTGGCATATGTTATAAATTCTAACTTAATAGTTACTTACTTGAATATCTGAGCTTGTAGCTTGTAATACAGCAGAGATCCAGGTGATTTTGATTTAAAATTTGTAAAATATATATCACTGGATTATACTATTGCTGACAAAAATATTCTTGATAGTAGTATTAGACTGCAGCAAGATTTAAACTTAGCTATGGCTTTTTTGTGGTTACAAAATATCTATTATCAATATGTTTCATGTAGAGTTTGGTCTTAAGAAAAAGTGGAAGATTCAGATTTGAGGGAGCTGGTTGTGTAGGGAGTAGCCCTTAATTTGAGAAGGGCTGCTAGCTGGACTGCACTGAAAGTCTGTGATTCCTGATAGTATGTTTGTGAGCCTGGAGAAATGTATTTGCTTGAAAGTATGAGAAGATGAAGGTAAGTGTGGAAGATGATAGGACAGAATGTTAATCAGCATTGTAGTTTCTTGGTGGCAGTTATCTGAGTTTTGTTTTGTTTTTTTTTAATCCACTATCTAATCTTGTACTGATGGTGTATCACAAAGCAATACAGAAATATAGTCTGCTCTGGAAGCATATTTAAAGGAGGCATAGATCATTTGAAATGCTCCCACTTGCACAATTATTATTGTGTATGAGTTCAGTAAGTCATCTTGTGAGCGGACCAACTGAAGAGTTAGCTGGGGTTTCATTTTGGATATTGAAGACATTGTTGGGATTTCTAAGGGCAGGACTGAAGGACCTTATTTAAATGATTATCAAAGCAGTTGCGTTGTCAATCTGATCAGTATTTGCTACGAATAGGTTTTATATAATGTACTCTTGGAGGAGGAGTTTTTATGGAGCATATTTCCAGTGAACTGATAATGGGAAAGAATGTGATCTAGCCACCTGCTCTCTACTGATTTGGAGTTAGGTCATATCCTTGGTCCCAGTAAGCTGACACTGTATGTTATTGTCATTCAGTCTCTCTGCCCCAAGGACTTGCCCTTTGACAGATCTGGCTTTTAAAGTTCAATGGAATAGATATTTTCTAACCCCTTGGGCAAAAGAAATCTCATTGTTTGCTGATATCATCAGTCCAACAAGGTAACAGGCATCGTTAAGAGAATTTACTGTGAAGTGGCACCCACACCTCAGCATGAGACTGTGTAGCTGCTGCTAGTTGTCACTGAAATGTTTTGGGTATGGAGAGAGATTTTGGAAGAGGTACATCTTTTTGATGAATTTCGGGATACTAACTTGTTTCTTCTGGTCCTCATGGCCTGAAGAAATTCTTCTTGTGACTGGCAAGATTCTAATATAAAACAGAGGGCTGTAAACCTTCTGAACTGCTCAGCATGTATGTAAGGTCTGTATGTACAAATGTCTCTAACCAGAGTTAATATGTATAGCTAAATATTTCTGTCTTAGCTGTGATCAA